AAAAAAGAAAAATGAACTAATTCCTCACTGAAATCGACATAAGAAATACAACCGGTTGGTGAAAGTCTTCAGGATGCCAAATGGCCGATGTATCCTCGCTTCTCTCGATGAAAGCGAAAGTAAAAATTAAGACATGGAATGATGTAAATGTCTGAAGCTGGCTGGCTGGCTGGCAAGGCTGCCCAGATTGCAAAATAAATGAGAAGATATGGCATAGAAGTGCTAAGAATCTGCGAGAGCAGACAGAATGTAAGTGCACTCTCCAATCTGTCAACTAGAGTGTCAACTATCTACTCCGGTCACCCACATGACAACCAGCAGTACACTGAGTTTTGGAACGGCTATCATGATATCCCCATCAGCATCGAAGGCTCTCTCTCATGTAGTGGGAACCAATCCCCTCCATGATCAGGATCATGACAGCAAGATGGATTCAACTCAAAAGAAGGAAAGCCACAATCAAGCAATGATACGTCATGCTATGCACCTACAAATAATGCAGATGGAGAGAAAGGAGGAATTCTACAGACAACTGCAATCAGTAATGAACAAGACCCCACTCCAGTTGGCAACATCAAAATTAATTCTACTGGGTGATATGAATGCCGAACTGGGATCAGACAACACAAGAAGAGAACTCATCATGGGTCATGAGAAGAAGACGGTGAGGCAGAAGATGTTTAGAACGACATAATGGTAATACGCTCAATTTTTTCGTTAAAGGAGCTACAGCATACATAGTTGAAGGTTAACTAGTTTGTTGTGACAAATGTTGCTACGCCCCTACTACATTTCTTCTTGGAAAAGCTTCACTCTTGTCGAAATAATCTGAGCAAACTAAATCGTCATCACGCAGGCTACGGGTGGTGGTAAGACGAAAGGCAATTACTGTTGTAGTGCAAATTTCTACACTATGATGTGTGTTTGAGGACGAAGTCATACTGTTGTTATCTGAGTGGAGTGTGACAGAAGTATTATTCTCTTGGGTGATCAGCAGTGCCACGCTGATGCTGTCTCCTATATACGAAAAACGGTTGGAAAAGGTTGGTCCATCTGCCAGACGGTCTTCTGGTGTCAGTGGTATGGGTCCTCTCTCCCTGGCATTGGGACAACCAAACTTCATAATAACAGCCCGCGAAAAGCCGCGTGTGATAGCCCTGACCAGATATCCCGTGGATCCTGTGGTCACACAAATCTTTTGTCTTTCAGGTAACTTAAGAAGAACTAGCAACCGGGAACTGCCAGCCACTCACACGCTCTCAGTAGTATTCAAGACCTAATCAAACCCTAAGCTATCCTCCTCAATTATATATCCACCCTCGACTTCACCTCTTGACACCAATATTGGGCCTCTCACAGCTTCTCTAACTTCTCATTATGCTGACATTGTCAACGATTGAAGCCATCGATACCTCATTCCTAGTTTACTTAGATCCCGACATCGATTACGCGAAGGGGCTTTCAACGACTGAACTCCATGCCAAAATGTGCAGCAATCGTCGCTCGCCAGAACTCTGGACTCATTAGCCACGGACGTAAGCTACATCTATGAGACACGTACACATGATCTGTGTGTGGTTAGCACATTGATGTCACCTGGTCATAGTAGTGAGTCTCCAAAATTCACCTTAAGAGTATTCAGAGACCCAGTGGCCAGTTGTCGTGGACTAGCCGGCGTAGGTGTAGCATGACGTTTTAGAGCAGAAAGTGTGCATCTCAACTGGATACCAGCCAGGAGGCGTGTATATAGTGTTTGACTAAATTGCTGTGTGAGAACGAGGAAGGATCGTGAGACCAAGCGATCCCTCGTCCTCACCCCCACCTACGCGACCACCGATTTGATTTCGGATGATGCTAAGTACAAAATCTCTCACAAGCTGTCAACCTTGCTACGGAAATTAAAACTTTCAGATGTAGTCATAATCGCAAGTGACTTTATCGTTGAATTTTGGAATCTGAACCAATGAGAAAGGCTTTTCGGAGGTATGTATGGAATTCCATGCCAATGAACTGACAACGGTGATCATCTGTTGTAACTTTGTCACAACAATCATTTGTTTTGAGTCAGCACTAGCTTTAGGTGATAAGAGCTTCACTAACTGACATAGAGTCCACTAGCATCAAACAAACGATGCCCGCTGATAGACGATTTCCTGTAAACGGTACTATCTAAATCTACACTTTTTCTTCCTGTCACTTTGCAATCCAATATAGCCTAATACTCTTCGTTCATTTTCTTACTCATCTGTGAATCGGATTGCACCTCCTGCTGACGTTGTGTGTATGAAGAAATTATCGATATGTTCAAATGTCGAAAGTTAGATGATTATCTTGATATGATTACGAGAAATAATTTGTGCTCGTAACTTCATCAAGTAAATAATACTGTACCACTGTGTGCAATACAAAGCAAAAGGAATTATATTCTATCACAGTGACATAGTCTTCATCTATATTACAGATATAATTTACTCTAAAATCTTTCTCTCGTTGATGAAGCATAAACTTCACTTATGAACATCAAGATGATATGTAACATTATTATTTATTCTTGACTTTCAGAAAATAGTTATACCATGAGGTTGAAAACATTTCAAATCTAACTGTCGATTTTTGTAAGAAATTTCACCAAAGCTTTAACCACAGTCACTCAGAAAGATTCATTCAAAGTAATCGAACTCAAATATCTTCACCCTAATTTCTTAAAAATACTTTTCAACTTTTCTTTGAATTTCCGAAGACCCGAAAGAATCTTTTCTCTTGTACTAAGATGTGTTCTCTGTTTTGGAGTAGATGGTGTCCCAACGCCTAAAAACATTACAAATGAAAGTACTAGATAAAATAATTTCTTTGAGAAATAATTACATTTTTAAATCAATTGTCAGAGATCAACACGAATGCACAATTAATTATCGGTTTACACTTAATTAATTGCTGAAATAATATGAGTACTTCTTCATCATTTATAATGATCAGAAGTGTTCACTAGTGTAGTAACGTTGACTTAAACACCAGGAAGACGTTACTGTCATTTGAGTCGAAGATGATCAGTGGTATAGTCGGAGTAATTCAGAGAAAATGCATGAATTCTTCAAACCATCTGAATTTCAGTTAGCTATTAGCACGGGCTATTTATATCTAGATGACATTAGATATTTGTGAAGACGCACACAAATTCATGTTCATCATCTTCACACCAATTATAGTTTCGAGCAGATAACATAAAAAATTTCGACTGAAATCGATTAGAAGGACGTTTTGCTAATACTCGAGAGTGAATCCTATTGATATGAATATGCAACGGACCATCTGGACCATATCTGTGAAGTGTTACCTTCACAAACAAATTAGTAATTAGACAAACACAATTCATTTTCTAATTTCAGTCTTAAATCTATGCAATTGGAACTGCACGCACTTTTAACTGGTGAACACATCCAATGTTTATCATTTACAATATTGTTTACTGGAAGATGCAGAAAAATAGAAAAGTAGTCGTAAATGAAATGATGCCGAAACTGAAATGGGGAACAGAAATTTGTCTTGAAAATGTACAGATTATATACTGGTTAGAGATTTGCTAAAATCGTTCAGTGCTATGCGTTTGCATTCACTTAGGATAATATTCTCGAAAGAAGAATATTATGAATGGGATGTTCATCCAATGTGGTATAAACTTACTTAACATAAGCTGATAAGCATATGCACACAGATGTATAGAATCAAAAGCATGACTTTATGGTCACTAAGACAATGAGTAACTGGACAACACTACTAAAGCTGGAACCAAATCTAAGATAGTGTGCACTATCTATCCCGACAAAAACTGTAGGTTTGCAGTGTTTCGATTTGGTTGCTAGGCCCTGCCTAATACTCATCAGATGAATGTGCCTGGTTACTGAAGAATGATAGTGTTCCTACTATGACTTAAGATCAACACCCAATATATGAAACACCAGAGCGTTACACAAAAATATTCACCTCAATGAAGCATCAGCTTAGTTATTACCATTTATTTTGGATCAGGTTTCTCTCTACTGCTGAAAATGAATGTGGCAAATGAGTAGGATATGAGTGGCAAATGATGTAATTCAGTTGCTATTTCGCTCACATTGGCAATCAGCTGTTCTACCTCAAGCCCAGATCACTCGAGGAGTCCTTCTACAAACAGACATCCCATTTTCACTCTATGACTTGCAAGGTTTGCCCATTTTTTCTTACACTGTCAAAATTCGAAAGCATTTCCTATAAATATGTATCAATCAACTTTGGCTGTTTAGAAATGACAGCCAAATGCTTCGTGGGATATTCTCTGCGAAGGTATTTCCCTTTGCAAATGAAACGTTGGAAATAAATGTCAGCGCCGGCTACAGCTGAAATATAAAAGTGCATTAATTACTCCACAACAAAAAGCACTGCCACCTACGAGTTATTCAACCGACAGTATCTGGCACACTGGTGGATGTTGGTGTTGTGCACGATTTGACGACTTTAAAAGAAAGAAAAACCAGAAACCGAGCATCAAACTACATGAAGTTATTCAGTGTAATCTGATGGAAAGTTAGAATGAATGTATCTGATAACAAATGGGAACGTTATCAGAGATATTACCACCTTCTATAATGAATAACATCACCGCCGACAGAGACAATTGAAGAGGTAACTTACACTGCTACTGCAGTTTACGAAAACTGAAATTCAGAAGAAGCAACACAGAGACGACGACTTCGTGAGATAACATATATCAAAGAAACAAAATGAAAACGGAATTCGATGAATAACCACAAGCCCGGTACGTAGTTGATTGTTATATTTTTGCGCTTCTGATTGATCTGACCTTTATGATTATGTTACAAGTTAAACTAAGCCCTAAGTAGTTCGATTTGACCGTAACATTCAAAAATCCATTGGACGGAGTGACATCGAAAAAATCTAACATCACGATATACACTGCCATTAACTTGTTACCTGACAAACAGTTGAAGGATAAACAGACTTACTCTGTGTAGTCAATGGACGACCAGTTCTGCTGCGTAATAGAAATTGAAACAACAAAATAAGATGACAAACGATTAAGTAAGTCAAATCTATCAAAGATTACCTTTCAAGATATCTGTGTACGACGAGCATTACGCATTACATTTTTTTCGCTTTATACCATGCGACTAACAAGTAACGTTTATCATTGATGTAAGAGTAGAACCCAGACACTATGGTAGTTAGCACATGAATCCATGCTTGTGTGTCTGTTTGTGGCATACTTTACACACTGAAACAATCTTAGTCATTAAATGACGTGTGAAAAAGAACTTATTCTTTAGAATCACATCCACAAAGGTAATTTCACATCAGGATATTCAGTTGTTATAGTGCTATTTCTCCCCTTACTCCTCCGCATTCATTTGTCGTTTGGACACTAGATTTTTCCAGGTATACAGAAGCGGTGTTCACTCATTCGTGTTGTACGTTTTTGATGATGATTCGATGAACAAAGCTTCAGTCATCAATCTTTCACTTTACTCGACTAGGTTAGTTTTGACGACTATCTCTACATCTTGTCCAACTGCGTCATCTAATGTGTTCACAGGTATCGTAATCATTTAGCTTTCATCTAGATTTCTTATCCTAATGAGGTGTTGTAGTCTAGATTTACCAAAGTCTTATGTTCTTTTATTCTAACTGATCTCGTTCAAGTAGGGTGACATGTGTATCGGGTCTCATAATCGTTTCATGAAACTCGATGAACGAAATGCTTTTGTCCAATGACGTCCATAGGATCCTCTTTCTTACAAGGTTTATGCGGCATCGTAACTCCAGTACTGTAAAGAATACTGCGTAGATATTCTTAACCATTATCCTAGAGGTTTTCAACTCTCATTTTTTTAGTGTTGCCATTGTCGGTATGTATATTTTCAGTGCCTGCATTTACTATCTTTCTCATGCGATTTCACACGCATTACTGGATCACGTTACGTGCTTAACTGCTGAGTACTGGGTTTACTTTCATATGTCTTGTTCCTTTTCTCAGAACCTCACTTTGCCTATTCAGACAATTTGCTCTACTATCCACGTTTTCCAGTTACCCTCTTCCAAATGACATTTAATGAGTGGTCACGAAGTCTGAGGACCGAGTGGAATGTGTAGGTTTCCTTTGCACAAGAGTATATATATATATATATATATATATATATATATATATATATATATATATATATATATATATATATATATATATATATATATATATATATATATATGATTAGCATGAACAAATTCAGAAAGCAATATGATCAGTTTGCAAGTTGGAAACGGCTCACACGCTATCTCCATACACATTCATTCATATATTAAAGGCCATCAGGCTACTCATCCTATCTGCATAAAATATCGGACACACCCTGAATGTTTACGTTTACTCACTTTGAAGTAATTAAGCGTCTTATCAAACTAAGTCTAGAAGATAAAATTCGCACAATTGTCAGCAAACGGGATTGCACCTACTGGGAAATCAACTAACCGGCATGTAAACCCATGAGAGCAGCTAAAACTAGAATATCAAGAACAAGATATTCAGCGAAGAGACTCTTTTCAACGAATTTATTTTCAAGCTGTACAATAGTATATATATGATATTTGGAAAAAATTATATAAACTAGAATATAAAAATCTGAAGTATCCAGTTCATATGCCTACAAAAGGATTTAGTCGGGTCTTCAGTTCATATGTAAGTGACAAATAAATGATGCTAAGTCCGCGTAATTTGCGTAGCAACAGACACTTAGAGAATAGGAATGTTAAAACATGAAGATTATTACAATGGATACAAAAAGCATGACTAACTTACTTTGTTTCACAAGTGCGCAGGCATTCCTCTAAAGTCTGGAAATTATTCGCGTTGCCTTCACAGCCTCCATACACAAATTTTTCGCATTCACCTGAACTCTTGTTGTAGAAATAACGTTTGAAATATGCTCTACAAATCCCCGGTTCAGATTCCAGATCACAAATATCTGAAAGCGATAAATTATCATTTGGAAATGATAAAATACTCAATTCATTTGTCAAACAAATAATCGAATTCCATTTTTACCGATAATATATAAAAGTAATCCATTTCACAACAAATACAACGCATAGAATAATTAATACAAGCAGGGGATTAAAATTAAGGAAAATGAGAACAAACAGGAAGTGACCTAGTTGATCCTAATCTTGGTAAGAAAAAAAAGTTTACCAAGGTTGGTGTAGTGTGTAAGAACAAACTGTTTTTGTACACATAAAGGTCGTTTAAATTTGTGTATGGTTATGGCTTCCACAAATCTCAGAATACGTCCCTGACTGTTTCTATATAAAACTCTGAAAGCTGTTTGAATATTAACTTTGTGACCTATTTCTATAATATGTTTAGCTATAGATGAAGAGGGTCGTCTACCACCAGCGTTTATCACTATTTCACACTCCATTTGTTATGAAGCCATTTAAGCACATGTTCTCCCATCCTCATCAACTACATGACTCCATCACTCCTCCCTATGTATGTATGTGTGACCACACACACACATGTGAATCGGTTAACACAGTGGGATGTGACTTAATCACTGATGCAGTGTTTAGATTTTTGGTGAAGCATGTGTTTTGTTTTCTCCACAATGGTAAGATTCGCTGCGTAGTACGTTTTCTTAATGGCTGATGTCAGCTTACGTCTCAAAATGATACTATTTAGCTCCCCTCTGTATGGTAGAGTGATATGGACATCTTTCCTAAGGACCATGTATATAGTTGGCTTTGGTGCTACTTGACCTCTACAACGGTTTATAAACTTCGTCAGATATCCATTTTCCATTAGTGCTTCAGTCAGTAATTTGATGTCTTCATCCATCGCATCTGGTTTACTGATAGGATAGATCCTAGTAAACAGATATTTTATTAGACCTCACTTGTATTGGATTGGATAAAACTGTGGAAATTCAGGTATTGTCCTGTCAATGTAGGCTTTCTGTAAACTGACCGTCTTATTGAACCATCTCCTCGTCGACTGAGGAGTGTATCTAGGAATGGCAGTTGATCATTATTCTGTTTCCCACAAGTCAGGCTGTGTGTTTGTATGGCATTAAGTCTATTTAGTAGACAAGCCATATCGTCATGCGTCTCACAAATCACTATGATGTCATCAGAATATCTCTTGTAAAGAGGAACTTTAGCGATGAGATGACCAGCCAGACTTTCGATATATGACATATAAATATCAGCCAGTAGTGGTCCTAAAGGACTACCCATAGGTACACCATGAACTTGTTGAAAGCGTTCACCTTCAAATGTGAAGTGGACTTTGTCGGTACACAGAAATAATGACTCCTTCAGAAAGGTTGGAGTAATATGGAATGTGAGGTTTTTAGAGGATATATAGTCACGGTTTACCAATTTACATGTGTGTGTGGTCACACATACATACATAGGGAGGAGTAATCGAGTCATATAGTTGATGAGGATGGGAGAACATATGCTTAAATGGCTTCATAACAAATGGAGTGTGAAACAGTGATAAACGCTGGTGGTAGACCACCCTCTTCATCTATAGCTAAACATATCATAGGAACAGGTCGCAAAGTTAATATTCAAACAGCTTTCAGAGTTTTATATAGAAACAGTCAGGAATGTATTCTGAGATTTGTGGAAGCCATAACCATACACAAATTTAAACGACCTTTATGTGTACAAAAACAGTTTGTTCTTACATACTACACCAGCCTTGGTAAACTTTTTTTTCTTACCAAGATTAGGATCAAGTAGGTCACTTCCCTCCCCCCCCCCCAGTCCTCTGTTTAATACATGTTGACTTGACTAGTGAATGCGTGTTCAAATTGTTCGAAATGTATCGCGCAAATACATCACAATGTTTAGATAAACTTCGTCTTCTAATTACGTTATCGAAATTCATTAAAAGGATTAACTGTTTCAAACACAACTCACTGTTATAACATATTACAATTCTCACAATAAATAAAACACAGAGTGATACTTGTAACCTGAATGAGCTCATCATTCTGAAGTCTTTACTTGTGATCATTATTTATACCCAACAACATATTGATTTCAACTGCATGCGAATACTTAACAATACATATCGAAAATTCATAAATAACATTTAAGTTTTGCACCACACTTATGTTTATCACTACTTCTATTCAGGTATTTTGATGAATCATATGTCAATAAATAATGAAATCAACATTCTTACACATAGACTTCAGTATTGTATGGTAGTGAGAAAACGGAAATGAATTTCAGAAGTACGTGTACCATTCACTCTTACACGAAATATATTCCTATCATAGAGTATATTTTCATAGGCGTATTTCTATTAATGTCTACCGGAATACAATACCGTTCGGTTTTGTTTACATCAATGAAACTCTTAATACTGACATATTGTGATTGCCTTTCTCAAACCAGATGTCAATATCAAATAATACACAAAAATCTCACTAGCATTATTTATTCAAATCTGAGAGAACTAAGAGAACATAATACAACCAAGAGTATTCTCTATTGATTACACTATGTCAACTAATCTGATATTGAAGTATATGACCACTAGCCTTTCACAGCAATGCACATTTTGTCAATCACTTGCAAAGGATATCAAGCATTCTGTCTTTCTTCAGTGAATCTAGACGGCAGTAGTGTTTACTCATATGACGGATATAAATTAGGTACATCATTCATTTCTTCCCATTTATAAACTTCAACTACGCGAAATCGATAAGTACAGTATAAAGATTTGAGCACATTTCCTGATTATTATCACCTACTTACCACCTAAATAATATCAGAACGCAAACGTTAAAGGAAGTGAAGATAATTTTGTCAAGTCAACAAGAGGTTATTGACAGGATCAGCCAGCAAATTAGATAATGAATAGTGTAAATTGTCTAAGAAGAGGAGATTGTTAGTAATATTAGAGAAAGACTGCCTATTTATATTGGGACGAGAAGGTTCAGAGGTGGATGGAAAATGTAATTTTCAAAATGGTTTGAATTTACACAAGTTTAAAGGGTAAGGTGAGCAGCATTCAGACAAAAATTAGGGTTCCCATGGGACAATTGAGTGCAAACTCGAATGTCATAATACAATCTGCATACACTTTATTGTAAACTAATCATCAGGGCAATGAGAAGTTGAAAACTGTGCTTTCTTTAATGCATAGGTATCCAATAAATTGGGCTTGAAATATTTACTACAGTAAAAACTTTTTATAAAGCTAATATAGATTCTGTTTGCACAGATTAAGGTTACTAGTAAATAAGTGATCAAAGCAACAGTTTTTCTTTAAATGTAAGACAGAAATGGGATATCCAAGTTATAGATTTCATGCTAACTTGCTTTTCCTTTTCACTTGTCAGTTAGATTTTCACTGATGAAAGTGACATTTTAAGGTGGCAGATCTAAGCTATGCCCTCTATAAGTGTGATACTGTGAAATTAGAGGATACATACTAAATGGAAGTCTGTCCGACTCACTGAATCAGTAACAGTCCAGGTGAGCTACTTAAAAATGCTGAGAGTAGACAATAAAAAACCGAAAAATTGAAATTCTTTAACTCCTGAGAACTTTCTTCAACTATTCAGAAGCTAAGTGGCAAAGTGGCAACCTTATCTCGAATGATCAATAAATACCAGTCAATAATGAACATTGAAACATGTGGTAACAGAATAGAAAGGGTGTTAAAAGTGATTGAAAAATGCATAATTCGAAGTTCAGCTACTTAATTGTTTATAAGTAGTTGATAACTGAAATGGATACTAGTAATGTTCACCGAATGGAAAAATTTAGGGATAGGATAAGAACAAATATAACTAACTAATAACAATGATCCTTGATGAAGAACACTGAAAAAACTGATTGATGAATTTTACCAATTTGAGTTAAAAGTAACTTCCATTCCCTTTTGTAACACAGAAGATTGTTTTCAGCACCCAAATCGCACAAGCTTCTGAGACTCCAAGTAGGTCCATATTTTTCTGACTACAGAGATCTTTATTTCAGAATGATCTAATCATCCGGGTAAACGCTAAAGCATACTAGTAGACATCTAGTTCTCAGTATGAGCTATGTATTTGCTTCCACAAGTATATTTGAGTTGATAAAGGCAATTACAAATGTCAAAGACATGTTTTTTCTTATCCCACATTATGGTACTAAGTGATGCTATTTTTGCATCAAATTCACTTCTTATCGTTGCACTCAACATTAGAATGATTACGTCATGTACATTATCTCCTTCAAGTAGAATACTGAGATATACTGACTTTCTTATTATTATTATTATTTTTTCCTCGGGTTCCCAGTGGAACATAGGGATTCAGTAGCACACCTCCATTGAACTCCGTTCTCTGCAGTCTTCTCAACCTCACTGCACCACTGCCAACAAGCTTTTATTTCTTCCTCACACCATCTCCTCTATATCACCCTTACCTCAGACACCCATCTCGTCGTTTCCCCCTTTGGATTCCACTTCAGAGCATGGCCTGCAGCGTGATATCCCCGATCGGCCTTCTAAGTGTTTACTCAATCCAATCCATCTCCACTTTCCTCTGTTTGTTTGTTGGGTGATAGGTTCTTACTTGATTCGTTCTCAGAGTTTCGTGTTGCTTATTCTGTTTATTCTGGCCATCTGACCTTCAGTGTCAGTATCGAGCTAGCGCAAGAAGCTGTTGATGAATGTCTGTCGTTTGTTAGAAATGCCTTTCGTGACACGCCAAGTTTCTCAACCATCACATAGAAGCACTGACTTACTTGACTGAATTGGTGTTGAAAATCCGGATGTTGTTCACGCATTGTGCTGAGTGCAGTGCAGCGTAGTGCGGTGCAGTAGACCTCCACACTGATTATTTCAGAATAATGAAAGCCTGTGTTGCTGTCTTTCCGATCCTGGTTTTGACATCCTCGTCTATGCCTGTGCCACCTGTAGTTGAAACGATGCTACCTAGGAAGGTAGGTGAAAGAAACTACTTCCTTTAGGTTTCTCACGTTGATGGTGATTGATGCCTCCTGTTGTTGATGCTGTTGTCGGTTGGGTATCTTCATCACCTCTGTCTTCTCTATATTCACTTGAAGTCCGTCTTCGCTGCCCTGCCTCGCCTCTTCTGTCAACTTGTTAGTTTTCGCCTGTAGATCTTCTTCGAGTTTTGAAACAACACGTTAGACATAAATTATTATCGGTGGCAAAATCTAAATCTTCTTCTGTGGTCTTTTCATTGGTCCAGTCAGTGTATACCCATCTTCTCACTCCTCACGTTTTGTTGCATGGTCCAGTCCAGTCGATCACAATGAAAAATAGGATGGGTGATAGTAGGTAGCCATATCTTACTCTTGTCTTCACTTCAAAGACATCACTGAGCTTTCCATTGTGGATCACTTGGCATGTAGCGTTTTCATATAGCTATTGAATGAGGTTGATAAAGATTTGTGGCGCTCTATAGTGTTGAAGCAACTGCCTTACAAAATTACATCTCGGTCGATGCTGTCGAAGGCCTTTTCAAAGTCAACTTTCTTGGAGTTGTAAAAATAATTTTTTTAGACCCATTCACTGTCATATACATAAATGATGCTTTTTCCCCAAGAATTTAACACATCTAGAGTGAGAGTGAGATATCCGGTAGTGATTTATCATGTTACCTCCTGAATGAAAATCTAGCAGTACTAAAGACACCTTTCCTACTTTTGAGATAGGGAATAAAACTATAGAAGTGAAGAATTTTAACCCCTTATATGTCTGCTAAACATAAATTACCTTGAAGATTCTGCTATGACACATACTGAGTTAGTTTCAGTGATTCTGAAACAATTATATTTTGAGTGTTAATGGATTTTCAGCCTAATATAGTCTCAAGCATAACTGTCTTATTGTTATGTGACAGTAATTATCAATCTACTTAACTGATAAATCTAGTCTTCATTTAATTTCATTCGGTTTCATCACCTTATGGGTAGCTAATTGATTGGATACAGGATGATTTTATGCGCCACTTTATTCGCTATCTCTTTCTGCCTTTCCGGCTCAGTGCTCTACCAACCCAAGAATTCTAGAAGATCACAATATTATCATCTGGAAATGGTAATGATAATTAGTAGATAGCAGTAGAATTCATGATGTGCGTTTCGTCCCATTTGGCACTCACCAGCCGGATGTATCTGCCTATTCTTGAGTGGTGTTATTCCCACTAAAAATTACGTGAAACATGCATCCTGGATTCCAATATCAGTCACTATCTATCAACACTGGGAATAGTGACAGTACCGAGATATTTACACAGAAGCCTAAATGCTAATTATGGTCGATCGATTCCCTTCAATCTACAACGTGAAATTATAAACAAAAACACTAAAATATTATCTGGAATAGTGAAATGATAAAAGACTTTAAAATACTTACGTTGGTGTTTTTATCTGAGGGAAACGATAAAATTGAAAGGTAAAGTAGATTTGCTCAGGTAGATCAGGAACATCAACAGATTGCACGTTGGTTCAAACCTGTATAAAAACAATACGATAAATTAAGAGATTCTGAAGAAAAGATATACAATATTTTTAAAAATTGGTGTAACTTATTCTTCTATGTTAGGTTATAATTTCAATTCTGCCGACAGCGTAAGGTGGGAAGCAACAGTTGGAGAGATTGATATTATAACTTTTAATTTACCACTGTTGATTGGTTTTACATCGAATAAATCGGCTTCTGTTTGCCCATGAACTCTCAAACAGATATCTCGACATAACTGATGGTTTCATGTTGACATTAAAGGTAAATACTGGCTAGAAGTGGAATCTACAATATGCATTTCATTCCGTTTAGGACTGATTAGTGCCTGTATTGTGGCATCGAATGAGCAGTCTCTTGGTTTCCTTGGCAGTATTATATTGCAATATTGATCTAATTCGGATGGACCAAGTTTTCGAAGAAGGAAAAGAACTTTCCATAAATCATCTTGACCAGCAAAATCAACTTTGAAGTGGTCTTCATATCTTCGGAACCAAGTATCG